AGAGCTGCAGCCAACCAGCAGTGAACCGTTCTCAGCTCTAATTGGATAAATCAGAGTGACGGACAGGTCTAACTCTCAGACATGACAGGAGGAACTCACAGCTGTCTAATTCTATCAAATTATCCAAGTAACAGCTGCCATTTCAACTATGGAACCAGGAGTCTTCTAATGTGTTAGAACAATTAACAGCTGGCGCCCCGCATGAACACGATACAGAAAGCTCGTAAATCTGTGATGTCACAGCCCCTCACACCACCCAGGAGTTCATGTTCAGTCCTGGCCCATTAGGAACTGGTATGTCAGGCATGAAGCCAGCGGAGAGGTCCAGTACTCCTGGTTCTCCTGGCATGCTCCGCTGGGTATACTGGAGATTCTGGGTATTCGAGCCAAATGCCATGAGCGGTGACAAAGACAGACGAGGAGGACATGAGATCTTGAGAAGACGTCTGCTGATGCGTTCAGGAGAAATGATGATGTGTTGAGACACTTTAATGATGATGTTTCCTGTAAGTTATAACGCTGCCATGGAGACGGTGCACATTTCACACCTGAGCTGACTCTTTGATAAATGCTAAACCCTGCCTCGACTTCACGATGCCCCCTGTGGATATCAGAGTGTAAAAATGTTTTCACACTTTCAGAAATCTCTTGAAAAACTCTTGATGTGTCCAGGAGGAGCTGTGTGAACACAAACAGACCTCAAGTATTCTTTACGCAGCGAGTCCGAGTGAGCTGATGTTTGTGTCATTCTGTTGGACTACATGAAGGCAAATTTTCTTATATACGTTGTATAGCGGACTGCGTTGCTTCGTCTCCAACATGTTATGGACAAAGGAATGACAGAGATAAACACCACACAAAAGAGGAAGTCGCTAACCGCTGGTTTCAGCAGAATCACAGTGAACTTCAGATGTGGTCTATCAGACGGTGGTGGACCATGATGCTGCACAGCTCATTCTGTTCAGGTCTTACTTGAGGCCCCTTTATGAACCCTGACTGGGTCATCTGGCTCTTTACATCTCTTATAAAGATAATATGTATAAATACCACCAACTCTCAGCAGACCACCATTTTGTCACACAGCTGTGAGTGGCTGTTAGCGCCCCCTGTTGAGGCTTATTTACAGAGAAAGAGAGAATTGTTCCTCAAATGACTGAATAATGATCCAAAATCAAACAGTCTCACTGACTCCAGATTAAAGGAGAGATCAGGAGCGGTTCTTCATCAGGATGAAGATTGTTGTGAATGTTGGACTAAACACAACACATGCTAACTGTTACCTGCCAAAAATAAAAATAAACAGGCCAGGGAAAGTGAAGCAGGGTCTGTGGTCTGGTTCTGGATTGGATTTCTTGTCGTGGGTCAGCCAATGGCCATCATGCATTAGCACATTAGCTGAGACTTGCTACAAGCTAAGCTAATCAGGCTAGTTTGGAGGTGTTGACTGTGTGATCAGAGGCTGCCTGTGATAGACAGATTCTGCTTGTTGATTGGTCCGTGTGAAGAGGAAGCCTGGTGTAAACGTACTTGATGGTGTGCAGTGTTTGGAGGTGTACGGAGGGATCAGGCGGTAGATCACATCCAGTCCGTGGTTTTTCTCCGATCAGGTTTGCTGTGGAAACTGTCGAAAAACACAAAAACACAAGAAACTGTGTGAACGTGAAAGAAAGTTCTTTAAAATCTCAAGTCTGCACTCAATCTTTGTTTCAGTCTGTGTCTCAGTCTGTGTTTCAGTCTGTGTTTCAGTCTGTGTCTCAGTCTGTGTCTCAGTCTGTGTTTCAGTCTGTGTCTCAGTCTGTGTTTCAGTCTGTCTGTGTCTCAGTCTGTGTCTCAGTCTGTGTTTCAGTCTGTGGTTCAGTCTGTGTTTCAGTCTGTGTCTCAGTCTGTGTTTCAGTCTGTGTTTCAGTCTGTGGTTCATTCTGTGTTTCAGTCTGTGTTTCAGTCTGTGTCTCAGTCTGTGTTTCAGTCTGAGTTTCAGTCTGTGTTTCAGTCTGTGTCTCAGTCTGTGTTTCAGTCTATCTGTGTCTCAGTCTGTGTCTCAGTCTGTGTCTCAGTCTGTGTTTCATTCTGTGTCTCAGTCTGTGTCTCAGTCTGTGTCTCAGTCTGTGTCTCAGTCTGTGTTTCAGTCTGTGTCTCAGTCTGTGTTTCAGTCTGTGTCTCAGTCTGTGCTCAGTCTGTGTGTCAGTCTGGTGTGTCAGTCTGTGTTTCAGTTTGTTTTCATTCTGTGTTTCTGTCTGTGTTTCAGTCTGTGTTTCAGTCTGTGTCTCAGTCTATGTCTCAGTCTGTGTTTCAGTCTGTGTCTCAGTCTGTGTCTCAGTCTGTGTTTCAGTCTGTCTGTGTCTCAGTCTATGTTTCAGTCTGTGTCTCAGTCTGTGTTTCAGTCTGTGTCTCAGTCTGTGTTTCATTCTGAGTCTGTGTTTCAGTCTGGGTCTCAGTCTATGTTTCAGTCTGTGTCTCAGTCTGTGTTTCAGTCTGTGTCTCAGTCTGTGTTTCATTCTGAGTCTGTGTTTCAGTCTGGGTCTCAGTCTATGTTTCAGTCTGTGTTTCAGTCTGTGTCTCAGTCTGTGTTTCAGTCTGTGTCTCAGTCTGTGTCTCAATCTATGTTTCAGTCTGTATTTCAGTCTGTGTTTCAGTCTCAGTCTGTGTCTCAGTCTGTGTTTCAGTCTGTGTTTCAGTCTCAGTCTGTGTTTCAGTCTGTGTTTCAGTCTGTGTTTCAGTCTGTGTTTCAGTCTGTGTTTCAGTCTGTGTTTCAGTCTATGTTTCAGTCTGTGTTTCTGTCTCAGTCTGTGTTTCAGTCTGTGTTTCAGTCTCAATCTGTGTTTCAGTCTGTGTTTCAGTCTGTGTTTCAGTCTGTGTTTCAGTCTGTGTTTCAGTCTCAGTCTGTGTTTCAGTCTGTGTTTCAGTCTGTGTTTCAGTCTGTGTTTCAGTCTGTGTCTCAGTCTGTGTTTCAGTCTCAATCTGTGTTTCAGTCTGTGTTTCAGTCTGTGTGTCAGTCTCAATCTGTGTTTCAGTCTGTGTTTCAGTCTGTGTTTCAGTCTGTGTTTCAGTCTGTGTCTCAGTCTGTGTTTCAGTCTCAATCTGTGTTTCAGTCTGTGTTTCAGTCTGTGTTTCAGTCTGTGTTTCAGTCTGTGTTTCAGTCTGTGTCTCAGTCTGTGTTTCAGTCTGTGTCTCAGTCTGTGTTTCAGACTGTGTCTCAGTCTGTGTCTCAGTCTGTGTTTCAGTCTCAGTCTGTGTCTCAGTCTGTGTCTCAGTCTGTGTTTCAGTCTGTGTTTCAGTCTCAGTCTGTGTCTCAGTCTGTGTTTCAGTCTCAATTGTGTTTCAGTCTGTGTTTCAATCTGTGTTTCAGACTGTGTCTCAGTCTGTGTCTCAGTCTGTGTTTCAGTCTCAGTCTGTGTCTCAGTCTGTGTCTCAGTCTGTGTCTCAGTCTGTGTCTCAGTCTGTGTTTCAGTCTGTGTTTCAGTCTGTGTTTCAGACTGTGTCTCAGTCTGTGTCTCAGTCAGTGTTTCAGTCTCAGTCTGTGTCTCAGTCTGTGTTTCAGTCTCAGTCTGTGTTTCAGACTGTGTCTCAGTCTGTGTCTCAGTCTGTGTCTTGTCCCTGAGACTGCACTGATAGGTCTGCTTTCACTTTTCAAACATGTTTGTTGCTCAGTGACCTCTCAGTGACCTCTCAGTGACCTCTCAGGGATCTCTCAGTGACCTCTCAGTGACCTCTGTTGTTATTTACCTGAGGAGGAGAACACCTGGAGGACCCAGAGGCAGGCTGCAGCCCTCCTGGGGTTTGAGATGTTGTGTCTGAGCAGACTCAGAGTCAGCAGCACGGCTCCAGCGTCCTCCGCCTTCACACCGATACGCCGGTCTGCACACACACACACACACACACACACACACACACACACAGGTGCACATTTTCAATAAGTAGCTGTAAAGGTGAAGCGGCTCGGAGCTCAGGTTGTGTCCTCACCTCTGTGACCAACTTTCACTAGCAGGTGCAGCAGAGGCAGCAGGACGCTGTAGTTTGGAGTGAAGCTGCGTCCCGTGTTCACCAGAGCAGAGAGCAGCGCCTCACTGCCTCCTTTCCTGATCATGTAGAGGATACGACGGTCTGTACCTGAACACACACACACACACACACACACACACACACACACACACACACACACACACACACACTGGCTTCTTCACAGTCTAACGGAAAACTCAAACAGCACGTCATCTGAAGACGGAGGACTTTGTGATCCTCCAGCTTCCTGACATCTGTTGTCAAACAGCTGATTGGCAGTTCAACTTTGAACACCTCTAACATTTCCAATACAGTGTACCACTAAAGGTTAGCTTAGCATCACTGCTAAGCCAGATTTACCCATCAACATCAGCCTTTGAGTGCTCTTCATTCAAAGATCTCTGAACTCTACAGTCCCTGATTTAGAGGGTGCAGGGTCAGGGTCAAATCTGCATTTCAAATGTAAATAATGAAGCTTTTTGTTTCTGAACTTTGAGAAGTTTCCCTCTGATTTGAGGTGGTACTGTGTGCTGTCTCATTGTCCTGCACAGCGCCTCCCCTCTGTTTGTAGGTGTCATTACAGGCACTTTTTATACGACCTGTAGTTCAGTGCTCACCAGCTGACAGAAGTTCATCCAGCACATTGATGATGTTTAAGGTGCTCTCCACATCGCCAGCACTCTGCACACAAACACATTAAAGAGTGAGACAGGTTAGCATGTTGTTAGCACATTATTATAGTGTCGAGCTAACTCTAGCTGCAGCTGAATGTTGATGAGAGAGCAGATATTATTATGTCTGTGTGGCCGTCCAAGCAAAGCTCCAGTGTCAACCACAGAGCAGATAAGTAGAACCTGATACACAGAGTACGCAGCCTGGATCAGGAAGTACGAGCAGACGCATGCTGACCTCATGGTAACACACTGAGCAGACATATCAGAGCTGACCTCATGGTAACACACTGAGCAGACATATCAGAGCTGACCTCATGGTAACACACTGAGCTGACATATCAGAGCTGACCTCATGGTAACACACTGAGCTGACATATCAGAGCTGACCTCATGGTAACACACTGAGCAGACATATCAGAGCTGACCTCATGGTAACACACTGAGCTGACATATCAGAGCTGACCTCATGGTAACACACTGAGCAGACATATCAGAGCTGACCTCATGGTAACACACTGAGCAGACATATCAGAGCTGACCTCATGGTAACACACTGAGCAGACATATCAGAGCTGACCTCATGGTAACACACTGAGCTGACATATCAGAGCTGACCTCATGGTAACACACTGAGCTGACATATCAGAGCTGACCTCATGGTAACACACTGAGCTTACCTCATGGTAACACACTGAGCTGACATATCAGAGCTGACCTCATGGTAACACACTGAGCTGACCTCATGGTAACACACTGAGCAGACATATCAGAGCTGACCTCATGGTAACACACTGAGCTGACATATCAGAGCTGACCTCATGGTAACACACTGAGCAGACATATCAGAGCTGACCTCATGGTAACACACTGAGCAGACATATCAGAGCTGACCTCATGGTAACACACTGAGCTGACATATCAGAGCTGACCTCATGGTAACACACTGAGCAGACATATCAGAGCTGACCTCATGGTAACACACTGAGCTGACATATCAGAGCTGACCTCATGGTAACACACTGAGCAGACATATCAGAGCTGACCTCATGGTAACACACTGAGCTGACATATCAGAGCTGACCTCATGGTAACACACTGAGCTGACATATCAGAGCTGACCTCATGGTA